AAATCTTAAGATAGTCCAATCTATAATGAATCATAGGAATGGCACAGGACCAGCAAGTGTTTTGTTTCATTTTTCACTGGACCACCAAATATTAAGAACCAACTTGATAGCAGTTAACAGCAACAACACACAGAATCAATTAACCAAGAAAATAGACTCCTGATCTTTCAATCTTGTATAAATGCTATCAGAAACATAAGTAGACAATAGCAAAAGCATCATTATCCTTAGGGTTCAAGACAAACAATTCTAGCTCCTAGGTAGAGGAAAACATGGTTTAATATCAGGTAATATGAAAAAACTTGAAGATATATAAAGGCAACCTTCAACCCTTGCTCTAATATAAATCTAGGCAGATTGCCCTAGCCCATTTCCACAAACCACTTACAGACTATGTCACGGTCCCCACGGCCACTCCTTGGTTTAATGATTTACTAGAAGGGCTCAGCATATAATCATACTTAGCTAAGATTTACTGCAGTGAAATAATACTTAGCAAAAACAGCAAAAGGAAATGGCACATGAGGAGAAATCCACAAGAAGCATAGCTTGAAAACAAAGGTGTTCTCCCACTAAATTCAGAGAGGAAAACAATTTAACTCTTCCAACAAATTGTGAAAATTATGTAATATTGTCCACTTGAGTCGTGAGACTTGATGCTCAAAGTTTTTATTGAAACTGATCATATAGGTACACGCTACCAAGCAAAAGCAAAATTCCAAACTCCAAGAAGGAAAGTTGTTGTTCTAAACCGCACAGTTTGCACAATAGTCTAGGCACAGTGGGTCATTCTTCCAATTTACAGCAACTTTTTACATTAGTGTAGAGAACTATTTACCATTCAAGTTCCCAGGCATCACCCAAGGGAACCTTACACAAGGCCTTTCCAAAGAGAGCGAGCTCTGGGCTGATATGTTAATGATTCTGCAGACTAGCCTTTCTTGAGGTCTTCCCTGTAAGACTACAAACCTGCAATCAGCCTTGTACCTTAGAGAGTCTAACAATAAGAGGGAAAACTTTGCCCAAAAGGAAAATGACAACTTACTTGTTCCTACTTTTGTTAGGTGTCATTGAGTTGGAACAAAAGTGCGAGAAACAAAACACTCTTTAGTCCTGCACAATCATTGCTGTTTGAATCCATTGTTGACGTCATTGTCTCAATTCCATCTCATTGAGGGTCTTCCTCTTTTTTGCTGACCCTCTGCCTTACTAAATATGATATGCTTCTCTAGGGACTGCTTCCTCCTGATAGCATGTCCAACGTGAGAGAGACATCGCTCCATCTTCACACAAAAAAGAGCACTGCGGCCACACGTCTAAGACAAATTTGTTCGTTTCTCGCAGTCCACGGTGTAGTTCAGTATGCTCTGCCAGCATCAATTCATCTATAGCCTTCCTTATACACTATCCAGCTTTCTTTCACATGCAAATAAGACAAGTAAAACCATCTTTCTCTGCAATGGGAAAAAATATGCATGCAACTGTCTTCCAGTCAGTTAACCAAGTGGTTGCCTGCAAAAGCAGATACCTACACTTCACCCTGGACTGCAGGTTAGGGTACAAGAGTTTTTAATTACCAGGGATCGCTGAGTTTGTTTGCTTGTTTTCCCTGAAAATGGGGCAACAACAAGGCCAAATTAGTTTGGGAACCTATGTTCTAGAGCAGGGCTGGCAAACTGCAACGCTTGAGGCACGTGCAGCTCTTCTGGTATGTCCATGTGGCTCTGAAGTAGAGCTGACATTTTTTTAAGGCTATTATTCAAATTATGGTGGTTTCTCTGTTTGTAAAAATATATTTATGGCTCTCGAATAATTCTTAAATGGCTGTGAGGGATAGGATTGGGTCTTCCATGTAAACAAATAATTACAAGTAACTGTACAATAAAAATAATATCTAATATTTACTGGGATTTACTATCACCAGGTACACTGTTTTATGAGCTTGCATAAATAAGAGCCTTCAAAAAGTTTGTGGAAAATAGAATGAGAGACAAGGAAATTCTTCCATGGAATTTCTGAAATCCCTTGTATAAATTTACTCAATACTTAATATAAAAATACAATAACTTTAGATTTTTAATTTCTATTTCACAAAGAAGAGTTATAGAAAAGATAAGCACAATGATCTAACTTTTTAATAGTGGCAATTGTTTTGACAGGAGAAATAAAATGTAGTATACACATACAGTGGAAAATTTTTATTGTTGCTGTTAGGTCTCATAGCCCTACAGGGGACAACACTGGAGACACAGTGTGGGAATTGCACCCGATCTGATCCCACCACACCGAGGGGTGCAACAGAACAGCAAGGGAATGGAGTGGCAAGGTCCCCAGGGAATGCTAAAGGTGGACACTGGGGTCAGGCGGTGCTGCCCCAACAGACTGGACTGGAAAACACTCCTAAAGGCCAACAAAC